TAGAGGCCACCTGTTCTCAAGCATCTCCATCATGGATTTCTAGGAATGGCCACAAAGAATCTTAGTGTACTTTTTTGTAATGTGGATCCATCCTAAATATTAAATAGTTTTGCCACTTTTGTCCAGAGGCAATGTAATTTAATTTGATACAGCTACGTAAGAGGTTTGATGGGAGTGTGTGTGAGGGGCCGAATGATGTTTTGCTGCATCAAACTCTGTAGTCTGTAATTGACTTCTGTCGACACATTTCTAGGACATTTTAAATAGGATATTTAGGAAAGGATGGCCTACACATTACTATTATATACCTCATATGTTGTTTAGAGGTGGGCTGTATGCCAAGCAAAACATCTACAAGCATGAGGTGTCTTTATCTTGGAATTGTTATAATAAATCAGATGTGACATTAATTTGTTCCATTATGATGACTGAATTCTTGCTATCCAGGTGCATCTTTATTGTTAATTAAGCATAAAAAAGAAAATTATAAGTGTTTGCAACTTGTAAGTTGTTTCATTTGTAATCTTTGCACCCTGATTACTAGTTTGGGTAAAATAAGACATGAGAACAAACTTTCCTTTTCAAATAAACAAAAGAAAATATTCCTAGGTGAGAACAAAATGGTTGAATTTAGTGTGATTTCAGACTCTCAGAAATATTACTTCAGTAAATAAATAACTTACTTTCAGAAGCTGCCTTTTCCCCCTAATCTACAATGTACTGATTTTCACTGTCTTACAACAGTATTGTGATGATTGCTGGGATAGATAGGCAAAATAAATTTGAGTTTCCAAAGCAAGATTTAATTTTTGCAGAATTTGAATTTAGCTTCTAGAACATTGATGGCGAACCTTTTCCGCACCGAGTGCCCAAACCAGAATGCACATGCTGGAGTGCCAGAAATCCATAGCCCATCTGGCCGGTGCGCATGCGCTTCGCAAGCCAGCTGGTCTTCAGGTTTCCGGCCCATGCATGTATGCCAGCCAGCTGGTCTTTGTGTGCACCGGAGCACCAGAAACCTGAAGATCAGCTGGCGATGGCACGTATGCCCACAGAGAGGGCTCTGCGTGCTACCTCTGGCATGTGTGCCATAGGTTCACCTTCACGGTTCTAGAATGTTTCTTTTCTTTTATATTATATTATCCTGTGAAACCCATTTCACAATATTGATAATGATTCTAGCTCAGAAACTCATCTAGTTTTATCCCAATTGTATTTTATTTTAAAGTTTCAAGAAGGTTCTGGAAAGACGTTTTAGTTATATATATAAGGTGAAGTGACAGAGAAAGCCACTTTTTTTTCCCCAGAGGGTAATTTTGTATGGAAGGGAAGGTGAGAAGAAATAATAGAATAAGAATATAGGTAAGGATTGATGGGTTTTTAAAAGGGCAGCCAATAGCTCCTTCTTCATTATCAATTTAAATACGGTAATTACAGAGTAAAATCCTGAAATTTCAGTAGTAGTTATTGTCAGCTAAATATATACAGAATGGCAAACTAAACTACAACATCTTCTATAGGTTTGGTCAGATGTTTTACTGAATTCAGTGAGATGTATTGAGACCTATTAGGAGGCCATATAATACATTTTCAGCTCAAGTATATAAATTCTGACCTTTCCAGTTTTCATCAATGGGAACAACACTGGAAGTTTTAAAGAAGAGATTGGACAACCATTTGTTTGCAATGGTATAGTTAAATAAAGTATAGGGTTTCCTGCCTGAGCAGGGGGTTGGACTAAAAGAACTCCCAGGTTCCTTCCAACTCTGTTATTCTGTTATTCATCTTTTGATGAGTTTTTGCAATTTTCAGTAGGCTGTAAGAAAAGACACTATAGTGTCATAGTTATTAGTTAAGGCATTGGACAGGGAGGACTCTGGTTTCAGTCCATCTTCAGCCCTGGAAATTCCAGGGTGATTTTCCCTTTCTTTCAGGTAAATCAATTACATGAGGGTTGTGATGAGGGGGAAAAAGAAGAGATAGCATTGACTTCCATGATACAAAAAGCAAAGTAAAAATCTAATAAACTACAAAAATAGGGACACAAAACAGAGGTCAAAATTCATAGACAATAATTGGGTACCAATTAAGAAAGATAGTTAATTTAATATGGAATTTATGATATTGTCTTATACGTAAATATAGAGGTCTAGATAAGAATATAAATATAATCTACCAATGTGACAAATTGGAAAAAGGAGTCGTAAGACTTGATTTATATTTATATGTTTTGTATGTTGTATTGTTGTATCTATGTTTGTTCATTATTTTTAACCAATAAAAAATCTTTTAAAAAATCTAAGAAACTGTAATGGGTTGAATGTGGTGGGATTTAAGGAAAGTTTCCAGATCAGACTTTTTTTTTTTTTTAATAAATCAAGCATACTGCCATTTTGCTGGTCAGATTATTTATTAATTTATTTCTCCAGTTTATTGGCCATCCATTTTAGCACAGGGTAACTCTTACAATATTATTTGAATTGTGATGCTTGTGATCAAACAGTTATTTTTTCAGCTTTGGTTTTCTGCCAGCCAGCATATGTTTTCCATTGACTTTTTAAACAAAGTGCATTGAAAAGTTCAAGGTTTTCTTTGGGGGGAGCTTTCCACAGCTGGAGCATGGTAAAAAAAATCAGGAGGAAGATTCAGGTGCATCCTTTCAGTTTCCTACCAGAAGCTATCAAAGGCTGAGATGCTTATACTAAAGCAAGTGGTTTAGAAGAAAGGCGAACAGCAGATATTTTTATCATGGAGGAACCTCAAAAAAAAAGAAAAGAAAAGAAAAATATCAGAATGAGTTATATATACCCAGTGGAGTTCCCAGAAAAAAAATTAAGAAACTCCCCAAATAGAGGACTGGTTTTCTTTTGTGCAACAACAATCAAAAAGTCCTGACTTTTGGGAAAAGTGGCATTTTTTATGTGAAAAGAATTGGCACAATTTGTAGAATCTGATTGTTTCCAGAATTCAGCACTGAGAAGTATGTAAACACCTTTGCAGGCAAGGTTAATAAATAAAGCAACATGAGTTCTCTAAAAGACATTCCCCTTTTCTGAGTCCCTCTTTCCCTTGCAAAGCTTCTCCTTAGTATTGAACTGCAAAAATGGAAGGCCTCTTTTTCTGCTTAACTGGTTACATACCACTGCCACAGTATTCCTTCGCAGCCTTACCTGAGAAAACATTCTTCAGCAATGCTTCTTCTCACTTAGAATCTGCAGTACAAAAGTTGTGAGAAACATTGTAGTTCATATTCTCTTAGGATGGCTGAAACAGTAAGGCAGGTTCACAGCTATCATTTTAAGAGTTTTAGAATATTGAAATTATTCTTGTTTTGGGGATTTTCATATACCATTATTAATCCAGTAATAGAATACATTTTAGCAATACTTCTGAAAGGTCTTAAATAAGATGTTATTTATATGTTACCTCATGGTGCCTCTGAAAACACAGAATACTCAACATTTTTCTTTGAATTGGGATATATCAGCTTCTTTCAAGAAGTTTCACAATCCATATGGGCAGTTCTAAATCAACAACTCCAGTTGTGCTGTTTATCCCTCCCATCCTTTAATCTCCTATTATCTAACCCAGGGATCTCCAATTTGACAACTTGAAGACTTGTGGACTTCAACTCCCAGAATTCCTCAGCCAGCCATATCTTAAAGTTGTCAAGTTGGAGACCCCTAATACCTGGATATTCCAATGCCTAGGCATAGTACATACCTTCTCTCACTCCACATCATCCAATTCATCAGATACATGTTGGCATGGTTGATTGATTTCTTGGTTTATGGTTCCCAGACCAGTAAATAATGGTATAGTCACAGGAAAAGGACATATAGCATTGCTGAAATATCATCATTACAATTTAGATTGCAACAAAAGTCCTGGTGACTGGAAACTTTTTGTATACGTACAGTATATTTATAATTAACCCTCCCTCATATCACTTCCCTTCAAACTGTATAGAATTTACTGATGTGTATATATCCATAAATCCATAAAGCATGTTGGTGAAGACTATGAACAATACCATTTTTTTTGAGACACTGTTATTCATGAGTTGAAAAAAGAATAAACATTGATTGGCAGACAGTTCTCTCCAAATTCAAACTTTACAAACCTATACTGAAAATATAATCATATCCAAACTATTTTAGTGACTTGCCACGAATGCTTCCAAAGTGGTGGCCATCATGTCTTAAAAAAAGGAACTCTTAAAGTTAGTATTTTAGCTAATATTACCTCTTCCAAGTTCCAACTTATTTTGAATGCAGCAAATCTGTTTTGTAATGTAAGTGATGTCAAGAGGAATGAGTACTCAGAATGCAGTCCTGTTACTTGAAATCCATTATCACAATGCTTATGCTGGAGATAGGCAGTTTTTAGGAAACTGAAAATAAAGATCCCCTTCATTCAGATTTCAGAATCAATTTACTACATTTATATTTGCTAAATGGCATGTCAGTCTGTATTGTTGAGCAATGAAAATATGAAAAGAGAATAACATCTGCAGGTAAGGTTCATTAAACAAGTTAAATGAATGTTTTCTAAACATAAAAGAACATTTCTGTATCAAACTGAATGTTCAGTTTAAAGTTCTATTCAGTTTTGACATCAAAATTGAGAGAGCCAGTCAAATGTACTGGATAAGGCATCAGGCTAGAAATGGGGAGATGGTAGACTCTAGCTCTAGTTTAAGCACAAAGCCAGCTGGCTGACTTTGGGCCAGTAGAGTTTCTCTCAGCCCTAGGAAGGAGGTAACAACTCTCTCCTCTCCTGGAAAATATGGAATATATTGGTAGAATTTTATTGATCTACAGTACATTTCATTGTGCATATGGCTGATTATTTTATCAAAAAAAGCTGAAAAATATGGAGGAAGGAAACAAGAAAACGTAAAAAATACTATTTAACAACAACAACAACAATAATACTTTTCCTTCTGTGAAGTTTTATATTTTTATTTTATTTTGGGACCATATTGATGTTATTTCCAGAAGACACCATACTTAAGATCAAATGTGACTATGATGAAAAACAAGATGGAATTTTGAAGTCTGAGCCAGTAGAAATTGAAGAAGAACGCAGGATCCTTTATAACTGCAGGCCGGAATATGGAGACTATGACAACATGGAACTGGAGAGGCCTTCTGAACCATGTGACCTTGTCAAATCAAATACTGCAAAACTGAAGTGTGATATTTGTGGATTGGGCTGTGTCAGCCTCAATGTTCTGGTGGTTCACAAACGCAGCCATACTGGTAATTATCATTCATTCAGAAGAAAGATCTCATTTGAAAATACTTGATTTGAGGATGTTCCAGTAGCCACTGCAATGCACTAAGTTGGGCAGAGGCCAGGTAGTGATCAAGCCAGGTAGAGTGGCACAACTTAGGTGGCATGCATATATATGTATGTTGGGGAGGAGGGTGCCTTGGAGATGTTACTCTTATGCACCTTGAAAGGAAATTGTTTTGGTTAAGAAAGCTACTGATTGGCAACTGGGGGAAACTGCAATATAATCAGAAACAGAGATTTTTCCCTTATCAACCAATCCTTTGGCTCAGGCTAGTAGAAGGCTTAATGGAATAAATCAACCCCATGGTTCTTATGGCAGAATAATTTGAATTTATCTTTAGCTAAGGCTATAGTGCTCTAATAATCACTCCACTACTCATGCTGTTTTTAAGGAGAGCGCCCTTTCCATTGTAATCAGTGTGGAGCCTCATTTACTCAGAAGGGAAATCTTCTCCGCCATGTTAAACTTCACACTGGGGAAAAGCCATTCAAGTGTCACCTTTGTAGCTACGCTTGTCAAAGAAGAGATGCACTGACAGGTCACTTAAGGACACATTCTGGTAAGTGTTTATTTCTCTTAAGAGTGATTGACTTAGTTCCTTTATTACTACCTGTTTTAAAACCATAAATGAAAAAGTAGTTTTAATCTACATCAGTATCATATATATCCAATTTCATGATAGCTCCATCCAATTCCTGCATAATTTTGTAATTTTTCATCCATAAAATTTCATTTATTTTCTTCTTTTGTTACTGGAGATAACTTTCCCTTGCCATGTTTGTGTCTCCCTCTGTGTGGGTGTATTCTGCAATTCTATATATGTATTTGTTTACCCTTCTCAGATTAAAACATGGATCAGAAAATTGGTATTATTTGAGATAATATATTTCACCATATAGAACTGCAGGTCCACATTGTAAACTGAGAAGTGGAAATTAGTTCAGTTTCCTTAACAGTGATCAATTCTCCTTCATATTAACCATGAAAAATCATTTTACAAGTACAGCCTCTATAAGAATCCATTAATTACATCAGATTGATCAATGTGATAAAACCAATCCAATTTTGTTATTATGGCAAGTAAGGAACAACAATTCTGAGGGAAATGGACAGTTAAGAAATAGAAAATATACAGTAAATATATAAACAGTATAAATGATCTGTGGAGAGAAGTCTTTATTTTATATTAAGAGCTAAGAAATAAAGAATTACAAAGAAAACTAGTCAATACCCCCAAAAAAGGTTGAAAAAACTGGCGGCACTTCTTCACTGCTACTCTTTCTTTTCAAATTCTCAGAGGTAGTCTAAAGATAATTTGTTATTATTTTCAGGATTTGCAGCTTGCAATTATAAAAAGAAGTGAAAATCGGAACAATAGTTTGTGCTGCAACAGCTCCTCTAGTTACTGAGGCCTTTGCAGCCCTCTCTGACAAGGAAGGAAGGAAGGAAGGAAGGAAGGAAGGAAGGAAGGAAGGAAGGAATATCAGTAGTCCTTCTCACTGCTAGTTTATCCAACATGGAGGCAAGGAGGATATTGACAAAACAATCTGATACTCTGCACTTTATGTCTGGACAGCTGAGATGTAGCTGCAAAGAGGGTCCTGGCATCTCCCTAATGGGACCTAAAGTTCAGGAACCATAAGGAGGTATTAAGATTAGCATAGATATAGAGCTGCAGTGCATCCAAAAGTAAAGCAAAGCAAGTCTCTAGCTTTGCAGTGGTTTCCAATACATCACTGATGAATCATGTATTGTATAAATGAGCTGAGGTTTCCACTGCTGACAGCATGGAAATACAAAGGTTCAGACAGAGCCAACTTCTTCAAGTCAAAATGTGTCATGATGTCATTGTACAAATGTTGTCAATTAAGTAATTGCCTGTGATATCATTTGTCTCTCTCACAAACACACCCAATTCCTCCACAGACACTCATGAGACCATGGCTTTTTTTTTAAAGATTAAAATACCTTTCTTATGCAGCATTATCCAGAGAAAAGCAGAAAAGCTTCTTTCTTCTGTTAATCAGATATATTTAGATTAGGAAATCAAACATTCCCAGTTTAGGGCATCTTTCACTATTTCAATCTTAAGGCTGTTGGTTATTTAACCTGTTCTGGTCCCCAGAACAATCCACAGGCAGGACTGTTCTGGGGATTAATAGGTCATGAATTGAAGTACTTGATATGTTAAAATGATATAATATTTATTACATAACATCAATAAACCAAATACTCATTTCTAGTGGAGAAACCATTCAAGTGTGAATTCTGTGGACGGAGTTATAAGCAGAGAAGTTCATTAGAGGAACACAAAGAAAGATGTCGGACATACCTGCAGAATGCTAGCCTCAGTGAAGCTGGTGAGCAGTTGGGCATTCTTAATTGCTGTGTTGGAACAGTCTTGTTGGGAATCTTATTTTCCTTTTGCTGTAAGGAAGAGTGATGGAACTATGTGCTTAAATGAATATAATATGGGAATTTAAATATCATAGAGGTAGTCCTCACTTAATGACCACAATCAACCCAGCAATACTGCTGTTAAATGATGAGGTTGTTGAGTAAACTATTGTGTCACTGCAATGGATGGCAAACCTCACTTCTGCCATGGTTATTAAGTGAATCACCCAAGATCATTAAGCAAGGCATCACATGACTGCAACTTGTGATTTTAATCCTGGTTTCTCTCAGTTGTGACACTGAAGGAATGGCATTTTTTTTAAAAAAACTGTGCTGTCTTAAGACATAGACTGCCCCAAAATGGCATCCCAGTTCAAATGGCTTTTATTGTGCCAATCTGGCTTGCTACATCTACAGTAGTAATTTTTGGCTAAGGATATAAAATGACTATTTTGTATTTGTTTGTTTGTTTATTTATCAAACTTCTTAATCACCCATCCCCTCCATGCACACCTTTTCCTTGCTAGACTAAAAATAATAGTTGATGTACAATTGTATTTAGCATTTGTTAATATTTTATGGTTTTCTAGTTTATGATAATATCTACCTTCATTTTTTTTAAAAGGGATTTAAAAATCACAGGCCTTTGTTCAATGCAGTACTTCAAAATTCATATTTGAAATTTGGCAAATAGGTTATTTTTTTTTTATTTTGATTTATATGCCGCCCTTCTCCGGAGACTCAGGGCGGCTGAATTTTGAGGTAATATCAAGTATTTATCAATATCTTAAGTAGTAAAGAAATCTCTGGTCATAATATTTGTATCAAAAATAACAGAACAGTTGGAATTATGAATATCATTAAAAAGAAACCTCCTCATTTTTAAAATCATAAATGACACACGTAAAAAAATATATTGCCCAAATTCAGGGTAGCTATCTGGCTATATCAAATTTAGCTGGTCTATTGGAAGAGAGAACATGGGGATTTTCCGTATTACTTACATACTTAGATATTTAATTACCTAACACTAACCTTTGTTTGACTGCTCCTCTGGAATTCGTCATTGGTGATAATTTTAACATTTATGACCACAGGGCTGAGAACCCTGGGGGAAGGTAGGGACGTGCATGTAACATTGAATTCAAATGTGGCTCCCATGCTTGATTGGAGATTCATATCAGACCATTAGCAGGTTCTCTTTTTCCGTGTTCCATTCCTTTGGTGACCACATCATTTGGTGTTACAGGAAACAGTGCCGTTCATTCAGGTCACGCTTAGTATTTCTGAGGTTTTTGTTAACCAGCTCTCTTGCTCTGAAAAAATGTGAAACTATAGGCCTGGAATGACAAAAGTCACATGTTGGAACAGTGTGAACTGCTTCTCCAAAAGACTCACCACTGAAATAATGAAATAGAGAATCAAAGGATATAGAAAGAAATGGAATAAAGATAACAAAAATATTACTGATAAGATTAGTTAGTTATAACTATGATGATGTTTTTAGCTATTAATTCTTACCATTCCTTGATAGTTTTTTCCATTTTATAATTTAAGTTGGAATATCCTTTAACATCACCACAGTAGTTCAACAGATGACATTTAAGTTAATGTCATATGTAAATAAGTATTAGAGATACTAGCTTTAATTGGGTTGATTGATTAGATTACATTTAAATATACTACGGTTTGAAAAACTGGTTCACAAATTTATTTTTTATTTATTTTTTATAATATATCAGAAATATATTTTGTTGTAACCAGTTAACTGATTTATTATTTCTATCAATTTAAATTACATTTTCCGTTCACTTGAAATATTTATTCTACAGTTGCAGCATTGTTCTGCATTTTGTAGCAACATTTGAGTTGAAAAATTGCCTTGTTTTTTTTTACTTTGTAGTATTTCAAATTAAAACACATCTATTAGCAAAACACATTTGCAAAAATGTATATAGTTGGGCAAAATACATGCAAAATGCATCTATTAGAAAAATACGCACAAAATCTTTATCAAGTTTATCATGTACAGTCTAAAAATATTAACTATTCCATATACAATTTTATAATGACCTATTGATTATGTGATAAATTTTATATTGTATGTGAAATTGAAACATGAACATTTTACTTGGAAAAATGGGAAACCAAGAATCCACAAGTGACAAATTTACCCATCTCTATTTATAAGTCAAGAAGTCTGGTTAAGTCAAGAAGTATATATTTTTTTGTCTAGTTACATTTACATTAAATCAGCTTAAACGGACCAGATTCCTATTAGAGGAACTTGTATACTGCATATTCTTTAGTGTGGAGCTTATTGAAACTATACTGCATGGAGACAAGCACCGTAAATTAATATTTTCCATGTGATCTGAGCATTTTTCCTCTAGTATGCAAGCCATTTGGAAAGAAATATATATGGTGAGATTTTACGTTATTCAGAAATAATTATTTAGAAATTTATTTATATAATTATTTTAAAACATTATTTAATTAATTATTTAGAAAAATAATTTATTTGAAAATAATTACGTGATCACCCCATCCAATTAACTTCTTGAATTGTTTGTATGCTGTGTTTCAAGTACAACAAAGAACACTTGTGAACTGAAACTTAGTGAAATAGCATCCCATACAAAAGCTCTGTGCATATTAAAAACTAAAAGACTTTTTAGACATTGCAATGCACTGCAATTAAAAAAACCTATATACAAAATGTGCATGAGATGAAAAATGGGCACAAAAATATATAAATATTTGGAAAGTGTATCTACTGTTTTGGTGAACTGGAAACATACACAGGAAAAGTCACACTTAGGAATATCTAGATTTTGATGTAGATTTTTGAATATTTTGAAATTATAAAACTAAGGAAATAAGCAAAATAAATAATAAAAATAAATATTAAATTCTATTCTAACTGATGTAATTGTTTCAAGAGATTCTCTGCTTTTAGTATATTTCAATCCTAACACTGTCCATTCAACCAGTGTTCCAAAATTAGAAAAGAATCCCAAAATTGCCCAAATTGGAAAATTAACACCTATTGTTGGTTTCAATATTTGATACTGTATAAAATAATATTAAATAATTTGGAAATAATATTCATTTTGAGACCATTTACCTTTCGCCAAAGGGCAAGGTTTAATAGACTCCATCTATTGATATCTGAAGAAATCTCTCTTTGTATTTTATTTATATTACATCACACTACTGAGTTATATCGTTTGATACACACATACCTAGATATTTAATGGATATGGCAAAAAATACAGAATTGATGTTCCTTAAATGGATGGCTAATCAGATTTTCACCTATAGGTGTTAATTCTGATTTTGGACCAAATAATAGAATACCCTGCTATTTTACCAAAGGCACGTATCTTTTGCCTCAATATTGCAATAGTAGTACTATGAGATTTACAAATACACAAAAGAAATGTCATCTGCAAATAAAATTGAAGGTAAGATTAGGTCTTTCCTAAAAGTTATGTGAATTATTACCTCCCCCATGCCCAATCCTTAAATTGAAAATAGGAATGAGGCATGTTGCATGTTGCACGCTTTGGCTGTTTTTTGTGCTCTCTTGTCAGTCTTGACCTGTGGTTAACTGGGAGAAGGACTGACCCAGCTGGCTTCAGGCAGGACTGGAACTCACATTCTTTCAGTGCCTAGGCTGTTGCCTTAATTGCTCTGTAGTAGGACTGTGTCTTTTTTTTTATCAAGTTAATGTCCTAAGAAAGAAACAAAAAGTCACAGCAGTGGTTAATCATACTCTTCCATGTTATCAATTTTGACTGATTTCCAGAGCATGGTTTAGGAAATGTGTGTTTTGATGGCCCTATGCCTTCAGTAGCACTTGCATTGTAAAGTGCAAATTGGCAAATTAAGTAATCTGCCTTGATCCCATTTTTATGACTAATATCAGAGCCAATTCAAATAACTCTGAATTTAAAATTGAGTTGTCAAAACATATCAAGGGAGAACTTACAGAGCAATAGGCTTCATATATGGTACAATATTATGTCTGTACAATGCTTTTTAAGCACTTCTTTCTTTCATGACAAACCTCTTCCAGTGGAGCAGATCATAGTCATTTTAGCTACTCTCAACATCAGTCTTTAAGCCATCAATTTGGTCTCTGCGAAGAACAACATCTCTAGTTAAATAGATCTTTGAACTCCTCCCAGTAGATTCTTCTTACTTGCTTAACCCAAGGAGCTGAAATTAAAAAAGGATGGTATTTGGTAAAAAAAAAAAAAAATCCAAGCTATTCTGTGTTTTAAGTTAGATACATATTAGAACAAAGTGGTTTGTGTGAAATTGAATATGAAACTCTGGGTATGCTTTTGCTGTGGATGAGTGGCCACTCATGAGTGTTTAGCATTTGTTCCTATCTTTCAAACAAAGGAAAAATATGTTAAGGACAAACTACTTTTTAGCAAGTTTGTCTTCTTTCGTAAATCTTCTTATTAAGAAACTACTGAAAAATGTTTTGCACTCAGAGGAACATATTTTGAAAGCCACAATTCCAGATTATGTTAGTACTGCATTAAATAAAATTGGTAAATGTTATTTCAGGTCTGCTGAAAGAATGTTATGAGCATCAACAGTCATTTAAATAATTAAACAAGTCTCATCAGATTCTTTTCTGCATTGTTATTTATTGCTTTTATTTGTGTTCCTATTTTGCAACCTGCGCTCTTCTTGTTTTATTTTATTTTTATTTTATATAAAAATAAGGGACACTGGACTGAAATGTATAACTATTTTATGTTATAAAATGATGATAGAGTTTGGGCACTAAGTGCAATTTGTCTACTACAGGAATGCCAATAAACTTCATATCCAAACAAATGGGAGACTTCCTACCCTCACATGCTTAGATTTTTAACAGTAATTTTTTAGCCACACTCAATTTTTATTTCTCAAGGCTAAATATTTCCAATTCTTTCAATCTCTCTGAATAGGATGTAGTTTCTAATTCCCTAATTTTCTTCTTCCAGATTTTTCAATCTTTTTTAAGTGCTGGGATACTCTCAAAACTAAATACAGATCTTAAAATGGAAGATGCCCTGTGTGGAATAAAGTGGAAGTACTACTTTATAGATCTGGAAACTATACCTTTGTTGATGTCTAAAATTGGACTTGATGTTTCTGCAGCCAGATGCTATTGACTCATGTTTGGTTTCTAATGAATATAATTTTCCCCCATAAATATTGTTGCTAAATCATATTTCCAGTCCCTTTGGTGCACTTGATTCTTGTTCTCCAACAGACTTTTGTAAAGATTGAAATTTTATTTCAGTCATCTAGGCAGAGGATCTCAAATACAGTGGTCCAGCATGATGAATGAATTTGCCTAATCCACTACATGAATAAAACTAATGATTTCATTTGGGTTAGAACTGGGCAAGAAATAAAAATACTATTTAAAAATAACTCATGTATCAAAACAGTGCTGGAACCTCACAATTTAGAAATCTGTCCAATTGGAAATTTAAGACTCTTTTTTTTTTAATGGCCAGGATAAATTTGCTTATCTTTGAAGCCCAAACCAAACAATATTCGTTTAGATATTGTTACTATATTTTCAAGTATAGTAACACATTTTGATATTATTTATTCATGAGACAAATGCAAATATTGGCAAAAACTTAATTCCCATACTGATTTTAGCTGGAATATGGATCAGAATAATTATTGATTTTGTTATAACTTACTCTCTCCCCACTTTGTTATTTTTACTCAAGAAAGTCCAAAAAAAGAATAGAAATTGATGGGTTTTTTTTCCCTGAGGTATTACGATCATAAGAAAAATCCTACTTCCTTTAAATCACCTGCTGTTAAAATACTAAAGCTTGCAAATCACTAAAGCCTTTAAATTGGGTTTGGTATTCTTTCCCCATGTACCCTGTTTCTCTAAAAATAAGACATCCCCTGATAATAAGCCCAATCGGGCTTTTGAGTGCATGCGCTTAAAAGAAGCCTCCCCCCGAAAATAAGCTCTCCCCAAAAATATTTAAACGCAGAGCTGGAAATCAGGTAAGATGGCAAGAGAAACCCCATCTTGCTCTACAATAAGACCTCCCCAAAAATAAGGTCAACCACTTATTTCAGGGTTCAAAAAAATATAAGACAGGGTCTTATTTCAGGGGAAACACGGTAATTGCACTGCCATAAAGTCACTGCCTGATCACCTATTTCCTTTAGATTTTGATACTTAAAAATCTTGTTCTCCGTTCTTGCAACTCCCTCTTCCCTGTAGTCTGATAGCTACCTCTCTTCCTCATTCATAATTCCAGGGTGGGAATTGATAGTTCTGCTCAAGGAATAATTATTCTTCCTTAAAAAGTCAAATGTAGTGGAGGTGGGTGGGGAAAAAAGAGAAACCACAAACAAAACAAAACACATTAGTCTTTATACAGGCTCTGGATATTGGTTTTTGTTTTGTTTTTTGCTTAGCAAAATTTTGCATTGAAGTGGTAAGCCTGCTCATAAGGAACTGCTGAGAAGGCATTCTCTCAGGAACCTCCCAATCTTGCAGCTCCTCAAAGTTTTTGACAAATACTTTGAGAAGTTGTTGTATCATCAGCAGATTTGATAAGCATTATCTCTTTCCTCAACCAAATGACTAACAAAAATAATTGAAACACAGGATTAAACTTCGTTACACTCCACTCCTACCTGAGTTCAGGTTGATCAGTTCATCTTGAAATAGATCTGCTGATGTTAGAACATGATTGTTAATTGAGCTATATATCCACTTATTATGGTTATACTTAAGTAACTGCTAATCAGAACAGCATGAGGTATTTTACCTACTCCCTTGCTGAAATATATTACAAACTATATTACATATGCAGCTTTGCTAAAACCTATTAATGAAAAATAAGATATAGTTAATCTGGCAAAAGTAATTATTAATAAATCCCATGTATTTACCATTTTTTTTTCAAAGTGCTCACAGATATTGTCTGTTTTACAGAATTTTTTTGCAAACAGTTTCATAAAAATATACTCTAGTTAAAAAAAAAGTTAGGAAATTTATTTAATCTATTTCTTTTCCAAGATGTATCTTTGTTTTTAGGGGACATTTTATTTAATTTATAAAGGATTGCAATATGGAGGGGGAGGAAGCTTTTTATTCAGAAATTTTTTAAAGAAAAAACTATTAGATAAATTAAAAGACTATAATATAAGGTTTTGCTTCAAAAAAAAGGGGGCAATAGGAATATTTTTGGAAAATAAAAGGAAAGCCCACTTTGAAACATCACATTACTGGGAAAATTATGCGCATTCAGTCAAGATCAAAATTAGAACATTTCACCTAAATTGTATGCAAATTCTAATATTTGTCAAATTATTTGGGAAAGAAGCCAGTCTCAAGAGACTGGAAATGTGCTTGCACAACTGCTTTTCAAAATTATAATAATTCAGATTAAGAAATTCTTACTAATGTTATTGTACTATATCTCTCAGCTAAAATTATGTTATGTTTATAAAGTTAATAAAGGAGCAAAACATTATATCTTATGAAGTAAAGGTACATATCTTTCTCTGTGTGTAGCCTACTCTAACTGTAGCCTGGAACCTGTTTCCCAGGGTTTCTTAGAGAAGTCAACAACACCAGGCCAATCTCCCATTCCATTGGACTGTCAATCAGTCCAATGGAATGGGACCATCAGATTCCTGCAAACACCAATTCTCCATGCAGGAAGACTAAAAATGACTAAAAACATCATTTCAATTGTTTTACATTTTCATCCGCATATAGAAGTCATCTCATACATGACTGCAGCCTACCCTTATGCCTACAGAAGCCAATTGACATATTTATGCCAATGCTACACGGTTTCAATTTTATACATTTTGTATAAGACGACATATAATTGATTGGAAAAATGGTTTTAGTGTTATCCTTGGGGGAAGTTAGTACTATGTGCTTCTGCGTTGAAAGGAATTGGGATATAGCTGCAATGAAACACTCACTGAGACTCACAAAATATTAAGAAAATGGAGAAATGGGGCAGTTTTATTATGGCAATTATTCCATTTACAAACCTACCTCCTTGGTTTGGCTGTGGGACAAATAATTGTAATAAGAACATTTCCCAACAAGAAACTACCTGTATTCTGTTGTTTTGTCTAATATGACTATAATAATAAAACAAAATATGACTATACTGTACTATTCCATAGAAATTAAGAGAAAAATGCATTATAGATAGAATTAAGCATGTCGTATGAACCTAGCCATCATGAAATTTTGTTGTGCAAGTTTATTTCTTGCTAATATTATTACTATAATAATCATTATTACCCTGATACCTTATATGTGGAATAGTCTTATAGCAGTCTATTCTTATTAAGTAATTATGTACATAGCCTAGTGATAATATATTACTATTAATAATAAGAAATGTTTCATAAGGTGGAGATAGTAAGATTTCATTTCAGTGGATCAGCATTTCAAGGGTTTGAATATTCACCATGCGCCCTTGCGTTTTACATCTTCAGGGGCCGTTCTGCAGGTGTCTAGTTATCGTTCTCAAAATCAGATGGAAATTTGGGCGGGACAAGATCTTCCTCTGTGTTGACCTCTACCAGGTCAAGCTTGTTTCATTAACAAAAGGAAGTGTATAATCAAGATGTTAATTCTGTGAGGCTTTGTGAATCTGAGAATTGCAAAATTTGGATCTGTCTTCTGTTTTGCTCCAGCTCTTCTGACCACATTAATGAAACGGAGGTATGAGAATAAGAGAGAGGCAGAAGAAAGAAAAAAAAACCCACACAGTTAATCCCATGCAGCTCTGCTAAATGAACAATTGTGGGCGTGTACATCTTCCTTTAAAACTTGCTTTTAAGGACTTTATTCTAATTTTTCTGTTTGCTTTTCCCAATCTAGAAAGTTCAGAGAGGAGGCACATCAGAACTGAAATGGGGACTGAGCGGGCCCTTGTCCTGGACCGCTTAGCAAGCAACGTTGCCAAACGAAAACGTTCCATGCCACAGAAATTTATTGGTAAGGATTTTTTTTTTTAAATGGACTCTCTTTTGGGTATAGCCATTAAAAGCAATGGAAATATAACATGGTTCTTCTTACAAGCGAATTCATAAACTTGCATTTGTTAAACAACAGTAAAGTATTAAATTCTTCTTCCCTCTTTACCATGACATGAATGGATTTATGTGTATCCATGGCTTAATGCAGAACAGCCCCTGAAATATATACAGTGCAGAGGTTTCTGGATGATAGATGACTCTTTCAAACCACAAAGCGTCCCTCCAGGAAAGCATTAGACTGAGAATTGTCACTGATTTCAAATTATTGTCAGCCAATCAAGGCAGCCGCAAAACAAAAAGGTGTATAAACAGAAGATCCTGTTACCAAAGTTCTGTGCAGATACTACAAGGCAAATAATTCTCTCTCCTTTATCTTACATTGGGGCGTCGGGGGAGAGGCATTCTTTCTTCTTCCATGAAACAGACATAATAATAAATACTTTTAGCAAAACAGGTTTTAGCTGACTGCCTTTCATTGATAAACATTTTTTCAAAAGCTCAGCAATGTCTTTTGAAATATAGATTAAACTGCTAGAAGAGTAAAACCTCACATTTCTAATCACTGTCAGAGAGCAAGATGAAGCAGTATTAAGAGTAAATGCAGAGACATTCTGTTTTGTTGATTAAGAATCATTTTCTTCTATTTACTAATTAGATCAATTGAATATTGAATCAGTAGTGATTTTTTTAAAATAAATATTATGATCGTAAGATCACATCAGTTGTTTGTAGAATGAAAAGTTCAGGTGCCTGCATGTACAATCATGTAATATTCCTTTTAATTCCTATCTTCTCGTCATATACTATTTATTTAAAAATGATTTATTAATTAGAAGGATTGTTTATAATAAAGTAATATAATTGTCAGTATCAATACTGGCTTTCAAAAATTATGTTTATTTTAATGCAGTTTATTTTAGGCATCTGATAATTATATTGGGAGAATTTTAATGAAAGTGTGATGTGTTGAATTGTAACTGAAATATTTAATTGAAAAAGAGGGGGGGAAAGGCAAAAAACCCCAACCCTAACTGAAGAAACACATTTTTTTTTTTTGCTTTTTAATTTCTAGGCTTTATAATATTTCTTAAGTATATTGTATTATCAAATATGAAATATATTTTTTTTTAAATTTGATTTATATGCCACCCTTTTCCGGAGACTCAGGGCGGCTTACAATGCATTAATTGAATAACAATTAATACTAATCAGACTATAAGAGAAAAAATATGTTAATTATGCAGGCCATGTCAAATCAAATATATTTCTCAACTGGAAAAATTGGGTAGTTGCTTGACTTCTCAGCTTTTTAACCAATTTATAGGAGGCCTATTAAATGATCTAAGTATGGATTTCAGTACAATATTAAAGGCTTTGGCCATTTTTGGGGGGTAGTTTTTGGTAGCAACTTCATTTAAATTTTGATAAAATTTAATTAAATTTAAATTTAATAAAAAACCCACTGAATCTTAGGTATACATCTTCCAGTATTTGATCTTAATGCCATAATATAAACCTTTAAGCAATACCCTTAGGACTAGATCGATTTTTCTATCTTTAACCTCTGTGTATCATTCTATTTCCATTCAGAATAGAAGGAAATATTGTTTTCTTAAGGTACAAGCATGTCCAAACCAATATGACATCTTTTTCTTCCCTGCTCCCCAGCCCCCAAATTAAACCCACCACAATTGTATAAATAGATCTACAATACTTTGGATTTATCTAAAGATGTTACAGCTATTATTCCTTTTTACTGTTTCTGTCCTTGTCATTGAACAAAAATAAAGTTGACCTAATATTTTTCCTCTGACTTTGCAAAAGTGGAAGGGGAACAATTGTTCACCTTAACCGCAAAGACCTCCCTCAGTCATTTACATCAAAAGCCATGCAAAATTGTTTGGTAGTGCCATATATTAAACTCCAGAAATGGTTCTGTGTAAAAATTTGTTGATCAGAGCGTATTTGCAGTGACACAGATTTTCTGCTGTGCAAGCTTCATTGTGAATATTGGAGATGAATCCAAAATGTTAGGGTTGCAGAAAGAGCAGATTATTTTTGCTTGTGCTTTGAGAACTGAGAAAATTCAAAGTTTGATTCAACATTACTGGTATTAATACTGTATACTTAATCAATAACTCTTCCTCCAACAGTAGTCAATAAATCACAGCATTTGGAGGTAGAATACTAGGTCAGGAGAAGATAAAATCCTCGATCTGCTATGAACTTCATGTTGTGAGAAAAAAATACAGAAAGCCAATGCATCCCACCCTAATCTTCTTGAAGAACATAGATGCATGGAATGGGTGTAGGAATGCTGTATTTTAAACCAATGATAATGTGTGTTTTGCTGTGGCAAATTACAAGTACAGAGCCTATAAGGTACTACAGGTAATCCTTGACTTATAACAGTTCATTTAGTGTTTAAACTTACGATGGCACTGAAAAAAAGTGACTTATGAACATTTTTCACAGTTATGACCTTTGCAGCATCCCCATGATCATATGATCAAAATGCTCAGTAACTGGTTCATATTTATGAACATTGCTGTGTCCCAAGGTCATAAGATGCTAAATTTGCTACCTTCTGGCAAGCAAAGTCAATGGGGAAGCCAGATTTACTTAGCAACCATGTCACTAACTTATCAACTGCAGTGATTCACTTAACAACTGAGGCAAGAAAGGTTGTAAAATGGGGCAAAACTCACTTAACAAATGTCTCACTTAACAACAGAAATTATGGGCTCAATTATGGTGTACGTCAGGGACTACTTGTACTATGTACCTCTCTAGCTGGCCTGTTGCCATCTGAATGCTAAAGCAACATGATTCCTGGCTTTTTATTGAATGTATTTTAATTTACATTGATTGCATTATTTTTCTTTTATTGCATCATTTTCTTTCATATTATAAGTGAAAATTTAATAACACAATTGTCATGCTATTCAGACACAGAAGATAAAGAAGAACATATACTGGCCTAGACATTGTTAGTCATCTCTATTGAGCAGAACTGTCAAAAATCTGTTTAATGGAATCTAATCTGGTGAATAACTTCTATGAAAAGAAGATCATTTTAAATCTGTTCTCTATTTTTCCCCTGTACCTATCAGCATATGCTGATACTTACAAACATCAAACTTTTGATTCACAGTCAGTATGAAAACAAGATTAGATACCTGTAAAGATTACGAAGCCAACTTCCTTCTTGGTATAATTATGCTAGAGATTTTTATAAAATAAGATAAAGACTAATATAAATTAATATAAAGTGAAAAAAAGAAAAGAAGAAGAACGAAATAAAAGACAAAGCTAAAAATGAAAGAAAGAAAAAAACAGAAAAGTCTGAAAATAAACCATACAAAGAAATAGCTTCTGATTTACTTCACAACAGTTATAACTACAACATGAATTTACCTCTTACTCTATGATTACAATGTAGCTCTCTTCTTTCTGTAATTTATTCTGTCTAATCATCAAAATCATAAATCACAAGTTCATTTTTTTCTCTTTTGTGCAAGAAAGTCTATAAGGGGTTTACAAGTTAGCAATAAACATAAATATTGTCTTTTCTCTGATCAAATAAATGAATTTGTTCATCCCAGCCACTTTTATCATCTTCTCCATCCATTCTTCCCTTGTGGCTGGTGTCAAATGTTTTCCTTTATGTGCATACAATAATCTTGCTGCAATGTATCAAAACAAAGTTCCATGACTTTTCCCCCAAGTGTTTGTCATTCAATCCTGAAAGAAATGGTCTCAATTGTATATTAATGTTTAAAATCGTATGAACTAGTCTATATATAACTGAAGATAGAATTTTCTAGCTTTTTTACAGCTCCACCAAAAATGTAAAATATCTGTTCTTGTTTGTATTTCCAGTATAGATTTGGAATGTCTTTAAACATTCTAGACAATTTCTCTGGTAATATATACTAATGGTACATCATTTTATAAAAATCCTCTTTAAGATTATAAAATAATGTTAATTTCAATCCTTTCAGCCATATATTTTCCATTACTACAGCTGCATATTATAACCCAAAAATTAAGGCTACTTTATCATGCATTCTTTCACTTGTTATTTCAAGTTTTAATAAAGAAATTATAGATTTTAGCAATTACATGTACAGAATTCTATTTCAAAGTCACTCTTACAATGTTCAAAATCATAAACACTTTTATTTACTTTAAATTTTTCTAATAATTTCAAACAAGGAAACTATTGAAATCTATATCTCTCTGCCCCCAGCTTTTTTCTTGATTTTATATTATATTTCTCGTGTCCAACTTCTAGTATCTTGTGATAAGTTAGCCATTTGAGTTTGCCTATTATTTCTTACCTATGAAGACATGTGCTGACAATAACAAAGATGTTTTCAGGCACAAACTGAATTTCCATATTCCATATTCTCAATAGCATGTATCTAATATAATAGTTTTAAAAATACCCATTAACCTTGACTTTATCATGTCACAAATATCCATGCCACTCAAATCTTAAATTGTGTACTTCTGTTTCTCAACAACACACACTCTTCATCCAGACCAAAAGCAAGCTAAGAAATATAATCTCAAATCAAGTCTGTCCAATCCTCTTTCTTTTACATCTTATAATACTTTATAGTTTTTTTCCCCTTGCCACCCAAATTTAGACATATCCTTCTGACACAGTTTAAATGGTGCATCAGTTATCAATGTAGGTATTGCCTAAAATGAAAATATTATTCTAAGTAAAACATTTATTTTTATCATAGAAATTCTTTCCAGCAAATTGTAGTTTCCACATCTTAACATATCTTTTTAATTTCATTCCATGTCTTAACGTAACTATTTTGAAATAACATACAATCATATTTGATATAATGACACCCAAATATTTTACCTTCTTAAAACCTGCTAATGCACCAAATAATTTTAATGTGTCCATTAATATTTCAGTTCTCTTTAGAGGATCTT